GAGCGTGAAAATTATGTTTTGCATAAGGAGTGTATTAAAAGTTTCCCAATATTGGACAGGGGACTGTAACATTATATTAATACATAAAATGTGTAATTTCAGGCTAAGTATGGATGAAGAAAATAACCAAAGAAGTAGGAGGAAGAAAAAAGAAAAACACCACCACCATAGGAGTCACAAGCACAGCCAGCACAGATCAAGGTCCCCACTTGCAAGCCATAAAATACAGCTGTAGAAACGGAAACATTGTGTCCCTATTGTGCTATATATTGTCTGTCCAATAACCAGTTATTTACATTTTGTGGCCATTTGTAGATTATATTTTGAATAGGTGATTCCAAAGTTTTAAGGTAACGAGAGGGGAAATACAAGTTATAGTTTAATTGAGATTAGGACTTTCCTCGCCAGTTATTAAGCATGTAGTTATGGCAATGTATATGTTTTCAGAAAGCTGAGATATAGCAGAATACGATCATGTATGTTTCGTATTGATATTTGCTCAGGAGATTAAGTTACAATCGTTCCCGTGAACCTCCTAAACATAGTTTTTTTGCAGGATTGGGAGTGTTCCTTTTTTCTATGTTTCTGATCTTTTCACTGTTGCTTTATAAGATAATGATCTTTGGAAATACGTCTTGGAATTTTTATGTGCCCCATAGTTCTGGAGATAAAGTCAGTTGAATTTTATAGACTAAATTTTATGATCGTCTCCATGTTACGTCGTCAACGGCTCACATAAACATCCATGAGACATCATATTTTAGCCCATTTTGTGGCGAATAGATTGTGGAATTTGTACATCGTTAGCGCGGAGAAAAGTGTTAAAAGATGACATCTTCAATAGTTATGATAGTCAAAAATTTGTTTCCATAAAAACTCAATAAAACGTTTCTTCGAATTTGGCCACTTATAAACAGCTAATTAATTACCAAATGCTTACCATTCCCATCATACTTTATAAATATACAAGTATCAGATCTGCGAAGACAGTTATATCGTGAAAACATGGTTGGTTGTTTCTTAAAAAGTGGGTGCTAACTTGAACAAAATGGCGTACCGCGCAATTATTTTTTCGAACCCCTTTGTTATGTTGAACAGCGTCAACAGTACAATCGGTTCTCTAAACACAGGGCGGGCCATCATGACAGCATATATTTACTTACGGGATATACATGCCTTTATGTACAGATATGTTTGCATTACTTTCTGCCTATGGAGAGTGTACCGTTATTGGATTCGTTATAATCAATTATTTCCAAGTCAGCACTGTTTTTTCCTCTCAATAAAAAACGAAATGTAGCGTTGGCCATGCTCACAGAGAACTATAAGCGGGATGGTGTTGAAGAGTGGTTCCAGACAGGAGGCGGTAATTCCATGTAACTACTAAATTTACGCATTGCGCGACGACCCTTTCCAATGCCATGAGCTGCGATCACCAACTTACAGTTTACATTGAAAGAAATGTCCACTCCTTTTTGACGCCGGAAAAACATTCCCCTTTTTACATTAACGTCACATCAATATATCACTGCCAATTTTATTTACGGACTGTAATTCTACCATTAACCAGCGTCTGTATCCAGGATTTCCATCTCGATGCCGTCGTTATCTGAACCGTCGGTGTCACCGTGACAATCACTCAGAACTTTTGTTGTAACTGTCGACAGGCTCGTCTTCAAACCACTCTGCGGGCTGACTATAATATGAGCCCAGGTCACTTTCATTTATGTCCTTTAACGACGTCAGACATTTTTTCGGCAGCCAGGTTTTTTATTTTTAGAACTCCTTCCCATGATTATATTATGTTATTAAAACACAGAGAAAAGCTTAAAATTCTATAGCGTAATGTTTGTTTGTGTTTCGATCGCGATCGCGTAACTGACACTATAGATTACCCAGGATATGATAAAGCTGGATGGTCAACAAATCAGTATGCAAATTAAATCCTTTGTCTTCAGTCTGCTACTCAACATGATATGTAAATGTATGGAGGACATGTTTACTACCAACTACATTTTTTGGGAATAAACTGAAATTATGCACCAAATGCATCACGCACAGTAAATTTGGACCAAAGATAAAGAAAGTACACAATATAATGTTTCATAATCCAAATTTTTTTGAAAAATGTTTTTTTTTTGGTGAGCTCTATTACACAAAAAGTTTTTATGTTTTTTTTTTAAATTTGGACTTTGAAACATATAATTTTGGTGTTTTTTTGTCATTTTTGGTCAAAATTAATATTTTGGACCTTTGTGAGCTTGATTTCATGAAAGGTTTCAATGCAGTGTATTTGAGAGTAATATATATTATAAAGCCACGTGATATTCAAACCTGATTAAAATTTGGGCTTTGAAATATGTATTTTTGGTGCGTTTTTTGTCAAAATTGATATTTAGGACTTGTGTGAGCTTAATTACAGTAACATATATGATACAATGTATTTGAGAGTGATAGTTCTTATTGAGCAGCATGAGATGTGCATCTGATTATAAATTGGGCTTTCAAACATGTACATTTGGGGAATATATTGTCAAAAACATTCTCCATTTTGGTCAACCTCAGATACAAATGTGGACTACAAATGTAATTCCCTGGGGACACAAAATTATAAAAAAATATCAAGTGTTGAAACTTGCAATTGAGTAGGTCAGTTTCAAGTTTCTTCTTCTGTAACATGACTCCAGGGGATTTCTACCTATTTAAGCTTGTCAGGTCAGTTGAATTAATTTATTGAACTATCGTATTCTTGTTTTGAAATTTATTATAAGTATTAATGATTATTGATAATATTACTTGCCAACTCAGAATATAAATCAACTACGGCATGGCTATAATAGAGTCTATGTTTACAACATTTCATCCTGCTTTAAAACAGAAAGTAACATAAAAAAATGTTGTTTATGTAACAATTATGAAGAATGTTCAAGAAATGTAAATAAATGATTGCATCATGATAAATGTCTATTGTATGCATTTGTTTCCGAACTTCAAAGATGATATTACTAGTCTATTTGCAGGGAAAGAGTTTATAATATGCTTCTCATTTACCAGTAGTCACACAAATAAAATACATGTAGTCACATATCTTTGGTCCAATCATGAACTCCTGCACATGCATCATGTCCTCAATATGTGATGTATGTGCTTAAGATGACAAAAAACAATATATAGCTGAGTTATGACTGGATGCACAGGAGGTAAATTGTATATGCCGGTTAATTCAAATTGGGGACTAACAGAAACAGCAGTACAATCTATAGTGCTTTATTAGTATGAAGATTGTTCACCCTGATAACATCTGTAATGAAATAAATCATTGTATCTGAAATGCACAGTTTCTAGTTACTGAGTAATATTAATTAGTACAATAATTGAATGCTTCTATAAAGTGAAGTGAAGAATATTTATGTTATAAAAAATGAAGTGAATTGATTTTTTTTTATAAAATGTGAAGAGTGAAGCTGCAGAAATCCATAAAAAGTGAAGTGGGAAGAAGCCATATTATTTTTTACCCATGTGGAGGCCCACAAAAACAGTACTATGTATGACGAGAATTTAAAAAAAAAACAAAAAAAACTGTTACTTCAGTATTAGGTCAGAAAAAAACAATAGTATGGTATTTCACTGTGTAGTTATATATATCTTTGCTGCACTATAATATTTCAACCCTGTAGACAGGTTCATAACTGTGTCTCTCTTATCTCAGCAGTCCATTCTTCATCTGGACCTGATAATTTTCATCCTAGATTTCTTAAAGAGGTGGCAAATGTCATCTATGAACCCTTATTTGTTATCTTCCGAAAATCCGTTGGCGAAGGTACTGTTCCAAGTGCATGGAAAGAGACTAATGTTACTTGTATTTTCAAGAAGGGTAATAGGTCGGATCCTGGAAACTACCGACCTGTGAGTTTAACGTCTGTGATTTGTAAACTGTTAGAAAAGCTTGTGAGATCAGCTGTTATGAGTCATATGGAAGTAAATAACTTACTATCTGACTGTCAGTTTGGATTTCGAGAGAAACGTGGTACTATTCTCCAGCTTCTAACAGTTTTGGAGGATTGGACTTATGCTATGGACAGAGGTGCACAAGTTGATGTGATTTATTTCGATTTTCAAAAAGCTTTCGATACCGTTCCCCATAAAAGACTAATACACAAGTTGAAAGCATATGGATTTGGAGAATCACTACTTAGATGGATTGAGGACGTTTTGTCAAATAGACATCAACGGGTGGTTATAAATGGTAAATTTTCTGGT